AAATAAATAAATAAATAAATAAATAAATAAATAAATAAAAGCCTGATACTTTTCTTTGTATGCTGGAAATAGTGTCTTCACTTTTTAAGATATAGGTGTAAAGTTTTAAGTTTACTTTATAAACAACAGACAAACGTTTCTTTCAAGTAGTAAACCGATATACCGTTAGTAAGCCTACCATTTAAAAATAATTATATTTTCTTCCTGACATATTCGGATAGGACCTATCTTTTATCAATTTTTTAACTGCGTGCCATTCTTTTAAAAACGTTTATCTAAAGTATTTAAAGGGTATATCAAAGTCAAAGTGGACAATAAATTGCTACATTATAATTACAAAGTTCTGACATATTTGACCGTTATTTCACCATCTGAAAAAGTTCAGCAACAGACACTAAAAAAGCATTTCGGAAGAAAGACCAAGACTCGTTCACATTTCCCACTTCGTTACCACATATTAAGTTATTTTCAATTGTTGGTCAAGCAAGTGACCAACCGTATTACCCTTGTAATAGTCTGTTTCTTACAAAGAAATTACCAAGGGTTACATATTATAGAGTATAGTCTGTTCTCATTGGATGTGCATTTACGTTGTTAAGCCGTAGAAATTTCAATCCCGATACTGTCGGGTTCAGGACCCAGTGTAGAAGTGCGCTACCCAACTGTCTCAGGTTCTGGGCTGAATGAGTTATGAGGTACTAAGACCACGTGGTGGAAACAAAATGACGCAGGTGAAAAACTGGTACAATGAAAATGTAAACAAATTTTTGTTTTTTTTAATTGTGTGAAAAGGCATGTTATTACTCGTAGGAGCCAGCAAAGCGTATATATCTTTTTGTAATTTTTTGTTTGTTTGTTTGTTTGTTTTTTGTTTGGTTTTTTTTGGGGGGGTTGCCCGGCGGCCCATCCCGCTCAATTGTCGCACTGTATCCCTTTCGTTGGGTAATATTGGTAGACCTGACAGTAATATTATTGTTGTAATGTCCGCTGGTCAATCTTGCGCTACCGTGTTGCTTGGGCTGGGTCTTTTTTTTTTTCGTAAAGGATCAGGATCAAAGGCGGTATGTTCGTTGGAAAGCCCACGACTAAGGGACAGAAACACTTTAACCAGCAAATCAGCATTAAAATGTCATGCTCCTTTAAATATTGGAAGGTCCTCGCCCATATATGGAAAACAGCCTTTAAGTCCACATCAGTACCAGCCATAGCTTTATACTTGTACGCTAGATACAGTACGCCTCTCTCTTCCTTTGGAACGCAAAGGCCCCTTCGATAGCGGTGTTCACCATGTTTGAGTTGGCCAGCTGTGTGAAGGAGTTCATGCTGAAGCAATGTGCTGGGCATGTTTTCTCTCTCTCTCTCTCTCTCTCTCTCTCTCTCTC